CTTTGAAGAAAAACCGCTGTGCAAATTTTGAACGTTGCTTTTGGCAGCAACAGTGCAACGTTGGAACTTTCGCCCCACTGCGCAACACTGGCGACAATGTAATTTATTACAACACTACGAGTACATACACATATGTACCTACAACATGCATTATTTATGCAGCAGCTATTGATTTTTCTTTGCTGTCAGCATACCAATACATATGTATGTATGTACACTGGCGGCAGAAATTATAGACTCGTCGTACTTTGAAGAGTTTTGGCTATATTTCTTTAGTATATTTTATGTTTAATATTTTTTTTTTATAAAAGCCTAGGTAGTTATACAACAAACATCATATAAATCCGCTTTTCAAACTTTGAACAAAAATTATAAAAATTCGACAAATTTTCACCAAATTTTCAAACTTTTTATTCAGAATTTTTAGAAAAATTTTTGGTAAGCAGTTTTGTAGCCCATTCAGTTTTAGTATAATAAAGTGTAAATTTTAATTTACTACAAAATACGGTTGATTTTTAAGAATTTTTTTTCTCGAAAATTTTTTTATATAGAAGGGAATGCCTAGCATCGTCAACAAAAAAAAATTGTCAAATATCAGCGGTATCTTCTAGCCACTTAAAACTCACACTTTAACACTACAAAACTGCATACCAAAAATTTTTCTAAAAAATCATAAAAAAAGTTGGAAAATTTGTCGAATTTTTATAATTTTTTGTTCAAAGTTTGAAAAGCGCATTTATATGGTATATGTTGTATATCTAGCCAGGCTTTTATAAAAAAAATATTAAACATAAAATAAACCAAAGAAATATAGCCACAATTCTTCAAAGTAAGACGATTGTATTATTTCTGCCGCCACTGTATATATATGGATTGGTTCTCCTTCCGTTGTCAACCATCAATTTGCATAGTTATGTATGAGTATACACATTCCAATAAAATTAACACCCTACAAGTGTCTGGCATTTTTCCACCTTCGCATTCTTACATCCATCCACTGCAATCAAAGTTATGCCGATAATTGCTGAATTAAGATAAATTGATTTTTACTCTGCTGCCTTTGACAGCGCCGCGCTGCCTGCCACTCCTTGGTGTCGTTGTCCTTTAGCCGCAATTTCAATACCTTGGCGACACTCAATTCTCAACTCAAATCGAATAAATCGAAGTCAATTCGATTTTGTAGCTTGTTGGCGGACAATGTGGATATAATGGCATGCAGTAGTGCAGTTTGGCCTTGGAGAAAATGTAATTTTGCTACACACCGAGAGAGAGGTGACAGCGACTGATTGCAAAACCATTAAATCAAAATTTTCGTACACAAAATTTTGAAATACTGTAAGACGTAAGCTCGAAATGTGTAGGATGGTTCCGTATGGTAAGTGCGAAAAGCTTCTGACTGCCATTCACATGGAAGTGGCCAGAAGTGATTATTTTTCGTATGCTTCAAATCACAGCCCACGACGTCCTCTGGGTAGCGACCAAACACTCGTTTTGGTGCGAGCTAAAGTGAGAAGGCGTAAAATATCGCGTGCGCTGGGTTTGGGTCCCGCCACGTAAAAACCACGCCCAATGAAAAAGCAAAAGGCCTCAGATGAGACCCCTTCTATTGATGACGACCACTGCAAACGTACAAAGGACTTTGATTTGAAGGTATGCACCTGGAATGTACGGATCCTTAATGGGGAGGTGGCTCTGCCCGGCTTGTTGATGTCCTCGGAAAGACAAAGGACGGGGCAAGGAAGGGTAAGCGTGGAGCCTTGCGACGTCTACTACAGTTGCTGCTTAAAAGAGCGCAAATTCGGCGTTAGATTTGTGGTGATATAGAGCCTACGTCACCGAGTACTGTCATTCACCGCGGTGGACGAACGTCTCGCCACAATCCGCATCAAAGCGAGCTTCTACAGCATCTCACTCATTTGCGTCCATTCCGCCGACATAAGAAAAGGACGAAGTGTCCAAGGATAGCTTCTATGAGCGCTTGGAGCGCACATACGAACGCTGCCCCGACACGATATCAAAATCATGCTTGGGAACTTCAATGCCAAGGTGCGTAGGGAAGGGATCACCACTGTCGAGTGATTCAGCCTCCACCTCGCCGGGGCCGAAACATGGTATTATACAGTACTAGGTTTCCGCATAAAAAGATATATCAAGCTACATGGTTGTTTCCAGATCGAAAGATGAGAAAACACGTTTCCAGTATTGTATGTACGTGCAATGCGAGGGCCAAACATCTACTTGGACCACTATATTGTTGCAGCCAAGATAAACATCCGCCTCGGTGCAGCAAAAAATGTGCGCCCAAAAATGCAAGGAAAGCTTAACGTCGAATTGCTACAATCACAACACACGGCCAATTTATTCGCGGTATGAGAGTCGAATACCTGCTCTCAGAGACCACTCTTCAACAAACCGACATGTGCGAACAGTCGAACCAGATTTCCCGCTCATCACGCACCGCCGCCGACGAAGTAGTCAGTAGAGATCAGCGCGCCCGAAAGAACAACTGGTGCGATGAGGAATGTCAAGAAGCTGCAGAGAAAAAAGTTGCCGCCTACAGGGCCACGCTGCGATCGGGCGCAACGCGAGCCATGCGGGACCGTTATAGGGAACTAAATAAGAAAGAGAGACGTATTTGCCGCAATAAGAAGAGAGAGGCTGAAATACGTGAGCGCGAAGAGCTTAAAATGTTGGCCACCCGAAAAAACGCTCTAAAATTTTATCAGAGAGTTAGACGACTTACGGAAAGTTTCAAGACCAGGGCGAACTCCCGTAAGAACAACCATGGCGACCTAGTGACCAATGTCCACAACGTACTTAAATTATGGAGGTAACACTTTGCCACCCTATTGAATGGCAGTAGCACTGAAGGTGGTGGAGGATCATGGTCGATGATCATGGAGTCAATTTTCCACCGTCTGACTATGACGAGGTACGAATAGCGATTATGGGGCTGAAAAACAACAAGGCTGCTGGAGATGACAGCCTGCTAGCTGAACTATTCAAGTATGGCGGCGAGGACCTGAAACATCTGATAAAGCGGCTCTTGGAGTTTTCGAGAGACAGATTCTGCGTGCTGGCGATGGCGAATACCGCAGACGATTTAACGATGAGCTGTATGAGCTTTACAATGATATAGGCATAGTGCAGCGAATTAAAATTCAGCGGCTCCGCTGGCTTGGCTTGGCTGGCTTGGACACCGACGGTTTAGCTTCGAAAGTATTAAACTCCGGTCGCGATGCTGGTAGCAGAGGATGAGTAAGGTCTCCTCTGCACACACAAAGCAAGTTTTGGTCGTCATTGGATTAAATTGTTGAATACAAATGAACTGTATCAGAGTTTTCCACTTCAAAGGTACCTGACTTCAAAAAAGGAGAAGGTTATCTATTCGTTCGCAGAAGAGTTAATCAGAGATTTGATAAGCTAAGGAAAAGAGCTTTAAATTCACAAGGATTGAGGATTAAAAAAACGTATGCGGTGATATAAAGTATGTGTAATTTTTTGCTTAATCCTAGGATAAAGGCATATAAGTTAGATGTGCATACTCATACCCACATGTCCATTAGCTCCTTTGCTCAAACTAAAAAAGAAAAAAAGTACACCCATCAAACCATCATCATCATCATCTGTCAATACATTCAAACTACTTTCGCCGCAATGCTTGATTAAATAACTTGATGAATCTCCAATGACCATTAATTTGATCAGAAAATTTTCGAACCATAATCGAATCGATTGCTACACAAATTCTTGTGATTCAATTTACGCGAATGCCGCATAGCAAAAAAAAAAAAATATAAGAAGAAAGCAAAAAAGATCAAAAAATGTGCTGTCAAAAAAGCGAAAATCGACAGCCAAATGTGAAAAGTGCCAATAAAACGAAGGCTATTAGGAAGTAAAGAATGCCAAAGCCATTGCGAAATATCGGAAGAGCAAAGCAGTGAAAACAAAAATCGGGGAAAAAAGTGTAACCCTGCGCATGCGAAAAGTTGCTGGTTGCATGTGGCTGTTATTGGTAATTCGATACTTTGAATGAAGTACGCAAAGGCTAATAGAATAATTCGTTAATGCATTTGAAGGACATGCATGGCACGGCGGTCGTCGGTTGGAGAGGGGGAAGCAACGAATGGCAAAGCGAAAGGAAACAGTGCATACATATGAGAGGAGGAAAGTCACAGCCACTTGGAAAGATAGCAGATAGATATTCAAGCAGTGCATATGGAGTGAGCTGCCGCAGATGAGCTGGGCGTTTGCCAACTTCGCTGTGTGGCAAGAAAAAATAAAGATTATACTACGTTTGCCTATCCTCCTGTATACTTATACATAGCCGTACTTATGTGCATAAAATATGCCTACATATTGTTTTTTGCTTTTTGTTTTCAAGATGCTTATCTACCCATTTGCTTTTGCGTCGAAAATTGTTTGAAATTAGTTTAGCACACAAGCGCGCTATCAATGGCTTTTTATCTCATCTCTGATAACGGGTGAGAGTATTCATTCAATATTCCTTTTTTTCGCATTTTAACAAAATTTATGCGTATACGTTTTGCTGCTCTTTTTTTTGTTGTAATGGCTTATTTAGAGTATAGACGCTGTACTCTTACAGTTATTTACTAATTTCATTACGGATAATCTACAAATAAGATGAGTGACAGAGATAATCATGTGGAAGGGGATGAAATGGGAGGAAAAAGTTGTATATAGACGCGTGTAAAGTAGGTATGAGCTTACAAATGCGCAACTGGATGTAAATTAGAATATGTCACCCATGTTTTCTTGATCAAAGAAATGTGCGGGTCTATGTATTTTGAGGTATTAAATAAATATTTCGACTCATTTCACCCACAGCAGTAAGGCGGGACTTGTCTAGTTCCCTGGGAATTAGCATTGTATGTCAAATTGAATGTTAGAAAGTTGACAGCTGTCAACTGGCCTATCAATGAACGTGAGCCGTACTATTGTGTGTATTTCCCGTAAATATATATATTTGTTCAACTTACAAGGATGCGTAGCAGCAAACGGATAATCCAGCGTAGGCAAACGTGATGGATGCGGTCCACATGGATGCAACGATGGCGGGCACTGATAGCAAAACATACCTCTTCCCGCAGCAGCAGGACCAAGCTGAAAAAGAGATGAGTGTGAAAATAAAAATTAGATATATGTAAATAAGAGAAAATTACTACGACTTGCACTCATACATATTTTTCAACCAGATGTTCAAGATTTGATTTTGAACATGAGATGTTTAAATTATACAATTTAAAGTTGCAAACATTTTGGAAGTAAAAATACATGTTTTTACTATTAATAAACATTAAGTGCTCACATTTATGCAATTTTAAACATTTTATGTGCAATTTTGCTCTAAAATTTTTTTAGAGTGTACATTAGGGTGCCTCACCAAAAAAAGGTTGCAGTTGTCGAAGCGGAATTAAAAAAAATTTATTATATTTAAGACCTCAGCCAAAATATTTCAGAAAAATATTAAGACTTACGGAAGCTGGGCAGATTTGAAAATGCCTCAAAAAATCAAATTACATATTTTGATTCCGTTGATAAAATTTTAAAACATTTTTATGCAGGTCTTCGAAGCTTAAACTCTTTTATTATTGAAGTTAAATTTTTGGAATAAAAATATTTTTTTATACACATTTTATTTGTAAAAAAACTATATGTGATCTGGTCTACGGAAAGGGGGCTTAGGTGTCAAAAAATCAATTTTCACTTTTTGGTTGATTCGGATGGAAGATTAGATGCTTTTTCACGTGGTGAAAAGCAGAAAATCCTAACTTGCTTAGAAGTGTACTAAAAATGTAGAGAAAGAAGAGTAAAAATACGACAAAATATAATTTATTGGTAATGAACAAAATACATTGAATTATAAGCTATAAAGACATGATTATACACTAGAAAAACGTATTATGGGCCAAAAATAATAATGCGCGGAGAACAATTAACGAGATAATGAGAAACTGACGAAACGAGTTGCTTACTTTTAACAGCTTTTTCACAGAAAACTAGTTTTCGCACGTAAGCTCCCTTTTTGTAGACCAGGTCACATATTTTTTGAGGTATTGTCAAATCGCTCAATCGCAAGTAAGTCTCCATACTTTGCCGGAATATTTTGGAGGGAGTTTTAGACTACAAAAGATTTTACAATTCCGATGGAAAAACAGTGCCGCCTTTTTTTTTGTATGGAAAGTGGTGCACCCTAATGTACAAATGCATTTCATATACATACATTAAAAATATGCATTTAAAATTAATGAAAAATCAGTCAAGATTCAAGATATGCAGATCAAGGCTTGGGGGAATATTTTATTGGCACGTATGACCCAAAAGATAATCAGTTGCAAGCAATCAAGATACGCCTAGCTCAATGTCATATATGCCATGAATGTACATATGCAGATATTTATTTACAAATATACACACTGCTGCCAATTTACATTTGTATTTCTCACACCACAGCATAGTAAGTATGTACATACTCGCATCTATTCGTACAATTGAATTTACTGCGCATATGTATGAACATAAATTAAAAATTTCAATCACGCATTCGATTGAACGAATAATTTGAATTCAATTCAATTGATGTAAATTATCAATCTTTGAAGTATGAATAACACAGCATACACAAACAAATGCACTGTTCTGTCGTTTAGCTTGTCGCCGCTTGCCGCATTGTAGCCATGCGCATGGCATCTCGCAAAATTCCATAGTGGCGTTGGCGCCGTTGCATTGCCGCTGCGTTAACATTGTCAATTGCACCTTTAATTCGATTCAATTAGAGACAATTACCATTACTCGTTCATGAGATCCTCGTTCGTTCCTTCGCTTGTTGTTCGTTTATTTGCCGCTGCAAATGCAACTCTGTTGTGGTGTGTATGCATTTCCATATTATCCATTGCAATCGAATGGCGACCAATTTCAAACGATGCAATGCTTTTCGATTTTTATGACATTCCATTGAAATCAATTCAATTCGATTTGTTCGGTTAAGAGAAGAGAATAACATAAAGTTAGGTTATGTGTGAATGTAGACATTCTATATGGGTGCGCCACCCATGCGTCTACGACGATGTCACTTAAGTGTCATTGAGAAGGCATTGCATGTTTTCGGAAAGTATTAGGGGTTCTGCAGCTAAATTTAGTTTTTTTCAACTTTTAAAGAGCAGAGAACAACTGCTGATTCTTTACGCTATCTAGTTGCAGGCAAGACGGGTTGAAAGTTGTCGGTCTGTAATTAATACAACTTTTCTATACATATATTCACATTGGAAGAGAGTCCCCTACACGTTCCGACTGCGATATTTCCAAAAGTCTTCCTCTGCCTTCCTGCGATTCTTAACAGTTTGAATGTCCTCTAGACCAATGGGGTACCCTACTTTTCAAACATAGATCTTCGTAATCGATATAACAAACATAAACAGGCGAGCCTAAAAGACAGAGTTACGTCCACAATTTATTGCATTCCGAGGCCATTATTTATTATTCGAGAGACGGCGATGCAAACTAGAGTACGGAGAAAGGATCTATCACAGCGCCAGAGCAATTGGTGGTCAAGGTTTCAAGTTTCAAACGGTAAGGTCCAGGTCCTTTTTAGTCTAGACTCGAGTGGGGAAATAAAATGAATGAGAGTTATTTCTTGACATTGTGGCTGCACTGGGTCGCGTCACAGTCATATTTTGTTGCATCAGTAACATAGGAAAGTACGGACGAAACGGCCAAACACAATTTGAAAATTCTAATCAGCATGAAAGATATGTATTTATATCTTTACAAGTTCCAATTTTTGATCCACTAAGTAAGATAAATAACTTACCTGTAACAAGTGGGTGTTGAAATCAATGACGTGTCTAAGAAGTCTGTAACTACTCTATGGACGACTATGGGCGAGTTTAAAAAGGAAAACGGTTGATGAACTACAGAAGTTCGCCAGTTGTCTCTCGATGTCCAAGTATCGCGTCAAACCATAGGTTAGGAGATTCTAAAAGTTCATTCTCAAAAGTCTACGAACGTAAGAGTGAAATCTAGATAAAAAACGCCAACCAAACCCAATCTTAGCTGAAGACCTCACGCTTTCACTCGAAAAGGTTATCCACCTTTCTGAGTGCAGGGATTAGATAGATAACCTACAAAAAAAAAACGTAAAAGGATTGTTGGTATTTTCTTTGAAATTGCGAAACTCTCAAAAGAAGCGAAACGTCTTTGCATCATCACCGCAAGGAAGGGTAAAGATCTGACCTAATCTTTTGTATAGCTCAAATACGCACACATGTACAAATTTAATCAGTACTGGATACCAATAGTTTGACTTTCATCAAACAGCATTACCGCGGAACAAGCTTTTAAAACTTTCGATATATTTTAAATAGCCGCTTACAAAGTTAAACTATTCAGGAACATCGTGAATATTGTCCTTTGTAATACTACGTAATCTTAAGTGTTATCAATAATTCTATCAAGAAACGCCGAGAGCCAATTACGAAGTAACGAATACGGCAATTATCAAAGTTATTCATGGTTGGTTAAAAGTGCGAGCCGTAAAAGCTGGATAGCTAGTTAAAAGTGTGCAGAAAAGTAGTGATACCACTCACTATACTCCAGTGAGAGTCCGAAGTGTGCTCTGCTTAATCCACAAGAAAGCTCATACCGCCATATGCGTCGACTACCGTGTTAGCATCCTTCTTAATATGACGTTTCGGTGTGAAAGACTGCAGTCCACCGCCAACTAACTGATTGGGCCTTCTCAGTGTGACTTTAGCACTCGTAAATCCACCAAAGACCTGGTATTCAGCACACGCTAAAGTTTAGGAAAGATCCGCGAGTGGGTGTCTGACACGCATTATCTATTTGTCGACTTCACCGACATCAGCGGTAACCAAAAATGCGAAATCGGTTCTGCTTCGCGAGCGTTCGCGCCTCGGCACCTACGCCATTGCTGAGAGTTATAATTTCGAAATCCAACCGAGAATCACCCTTTCCAAAAAGTGCTACTTTGGACTGACTTTCGAAAAGCTTTACCATAACTTGGACGTTCTATCGCTACCCACTAGGCCATTTTGTTAGGTGATCCTAATGTTATTCATGCCAGCATATATGCTTTTGTTAGTTTGACCGCAGTTACTACAAAAATGTGTTTCCTAGTCATGTGTATTTTGAGTAGCTGAATTTGCAACTAACTAAAGTAGGTGTAAAGTAGCAGAAGCCGAAATAATAAATTGATACGAAGCGAGTAGATAACAAAGTTCAGTAGTGAGCAGCTATGAACTCAGCATCTTAAGTTGTAGGTGCTGTTTATCAGATGCGATGAACAAGCGAATTCGAACGACTTCACTCTATTGCTTTTTATACTACACAAAGTCATTCATGCGAAGGCGGCCATCGCTGTGCGTTAGGCATGAGGGATGGTCATGGAAGTGGTTATGAATAGTGAGGTGGAGAGCACTACCTGGCGGCCTACTGGGTAGTGGTGAAAGTATCTCCATGATATGGGTAAGCGAAAGGTTTTAATGAAGGCGAAATGCGTTCAGTTAGAAAACAGAAAATGTGATTTTCTTGGCAGTGGAATTATAGGCAATATAGTGTGTAGTAGATACCCTTCCCAGGAAAGGAGTTGGAAATGGATTCATAGGCCGTAGATTTTCCATATAGGCCCCATTGAAATTAAAAAGATAACTTAATAAATTAAATACAAGTTTTATATTTTCCATAATGTAAATTAAAATCGATTGGTCTGCGTAAAATTAAAATTCAAGCTAACATTTTCGGCTTTTATTTATTACAGCACACACTACTGCACGCGCCACTGCCAAAGTATCAGATTACAAATGCGACACGCGGACCAATGCGACCAACTAATTTAAACACGCAAAATTGCATATTTAATGGCGCAACAGCACGCACCTGCGACCAATTACGCTGGTACAGTCGCACACACACAAACATCTGCATACATCCACTGAAGTTACAGCAAACAGCAAACAGTGGTGCAGCAGGAGATGTGAGAAGAGAAGGTGTTGTCATAGGCGCTGCCGCCACAATGGCGCATTGGATGCCATAAATTTTCATTTAACTGCCAAGAATAGCAACAACAACAACACACACATACACAC